ATTCATCTATTGCTCATGTTGCTTTATCGACACAACATGGGCATCAACTTTTTGACCAATTCCAGACAAGTCATTCCACATATCCTTCACATTCTCATCAGTCGAATCAAACCTTTTCATCATCTTCTGCATCATATACTCAATCCATGACATACTACCCTCAGCTTCTCTATTGCCAGATTCCCGATTTGCAGGAGGAACATAAGGACCAACCCTATCATTTTTGTTGCCATAGTTGTTCCGTTTGTAGTTGTTGCCACGATTGTAGTTCCCATCCCAGACATATTGACCCTCTCAGTTGTAGTTGTCATAGTTCCGACCTTGGTTTCCTTGCCCTTGGCACCAATTATCCGAGTTGGAACCTTGAGCATTGGCTCGAAAACCTCATGTCTGATCATTCACAAGTATGCATCCTCCTCATAGTAACATTCCTCAACCGCTGGTGGTGGATTCCTAGTCAAATAATTCACCACATTTACCTTTTCTGGACCTCCGCTTACATGCTTTAATACCAACCCAAGTTCTGTCCTTATTTGAGCCATCTCCTCACGAATGTCATCGATAGATTTACTAGGTGCAGATTGAACTGTAAAAGTTCTTCTTCTAGTGTCTGACTTCCGAGTGCTCCATGAGTTATTGTTTTGGGAAATCTTCTCCAGTTTCTCAGCAATCTCCTCAAAAGTGCACTCACCATATGATCCTCCAGCGATAGTATCAAGAACAACTTTACCATTTTCATCCTGGCCTCTATCGAAATACTCCTTCAGTGACTCATCATCAATACGGTGATTCATAACACTTCTTATTAATGCAGTGAACCTATCCCATGAACTACTCACAGACTCTCTAAGTAGTGCCATGAAACTATTAAGTTTATCGTTGTGGTTCAGCTTCTTAGACAACGGGATGTAATTGGCCATGAACACCTTGTGCAATTGGTCCAATATATGAATTGAGTTGAATGGAAGCTTAGAAAACTAGATCACAGCATCTCTGGTCAATGATAGAGGGAAGACTCTCAAACCTATGATGTCCATATCCAACTCTGGTCACCCCATACAACTCTTACAAACACTCCTCAACTTGGCCATATACCCATGCAGATCTTTCGAAGCCATACCAGCAAACAAACCCCTCGTTGTAAGCATCTACATCAGACTACTAGTCACTACGAATGTATTCCCTGGAGGTAGTAGAGGGAGAACAATGGGTCCTTCTGATTCAACTGCGTTAAACTTGACCCTGTAGTTATCTTACAGCCTTGGTTCTGGCAGATTTTGCACCCTCAATGTATCTCCTAGTAAATTACCACCATGATCCTGAGCGTGCTTATTAACAACCCTAGGAGGTTACAACTCAACTCCATCACCTAGATTTTCTCTGATTGGATTGACTTGGAACCCTTGATTATTCATCTTTCGCAAAGTTTTGGTCAACTCTGGATCATATGGGGTCAATGGTTCACCTCGACTCTATGTACTTGGTATACACTAGAGTAGAAACCTGTAGAAACAAAAACAAAAGTAAACATAAAATTAGGAAATAATTGACTAAAGTTCAATAATGTAGTTAAACTTAATCTAAAAGCCTTATTCACCAGCAGCGGCGCCAAAATTTGATACGCTCAAATTACACCTCCCTAAAAAAGTATAAGCGATCGTTGTCAAATAAAGAACCCAACTAGTAGGTTGGGGTCGATCCCACGAGGAATATGGCTTAGGCTTAAACTTAACTCACTATTATATTCATTTAGTCAACTTATTTTTGAGACAAGTAAGTAGAGTGGGGGGGGGGTTGTGAAACAAATAACTGATTGTTGTTAAGGAACAAGTGAGAAAGATTCAAACTTTGTTGTTATCAATGAGAGAGAGAAACTAGGGTGTATATGTTCCCCATAAGCTCTTAACGTGGTAGTACTAATAATAGTAATCCTTTCCTAGTGTATCACATGCAAAGTGGTAAGATATGTAACCCTAAGTGATTGGTTCTCCAAATAGGGAATTTCACTCCACGCATTGGTCCGGCTACGTGTGTATAACTTACTAACCCTTACCTTTACCTCAGATTAGACATCACATTAATGTATGGCTTAGTTTTCACCCTCGCACCAATTGAAATTAAACTATTAGATAGTATCACACTAAATCTCTGTTGATAATTCTTTTCTTATTAACTACCTTCTTGGTCTGGCAAGTAGAAATAAGGCGAGTTCTAACGCGTGCACTTGTTAAAAAGACTTCTAAGCGAAAGAATTAACAATGCATGCATCAACACTATTTAAGAATTACTTAGTTGTTATTCATACATTGTTAATCGCTCATGGTTCCCACAACCCTAGTTGTGGAATTAGTTACTCATGCTTGGAAGAACACAATTCATATTTTTCGAAGAGGAATTCATGAACTTACATAATGAGTAGAGAAAACTCGTAATCTCCAATTGAAATTCAAAGCCAAAATCTTTATAAGCCAAAATTCGGAAATCAAATTGCTAAAGTTTGCAAGTTAATTCCCAAGAAAATACCAAGAACTAAAAGTAAACAATAATGTGTAACCCCCAAAAACGAGGTTAACATACCCTATTTATATATGAACTTGTCCTAAACAAAAAGGAAACAAAATAAGGAAATAAAACTTCTGGACGCGCTTCAATCGATGAGACTGACCTACGGACTGGGTTAGACCTATAGTCCATAGGTCCTTTCCGTAGCTTGATACTTAGAACTTTTCCACAGAGGCTAGAATGATCAACTTTCAGATACAAACGATGGGTGTGCAGTATGGACAGTAGGTTGACCTACAGTCTGTGGGTCCCCTTCCGTGGCTCCACACTTGGAATTTTTCATCAGGTACTGGAACTCAAATTTCTGATCTCATCGACGAATGTGCAGGACGGCCCATGGGTCGACCTACGCTCTGTCACTAGCCTCCATGGCTCCACACTTAGTTAGATTTCCCTGATGATCATTCCACTCCTTCCCACGATGGACTGTGACTGGACCTACAGTCCGTAGGTCACTTTTGTGGGTGGCTCCTTCTACAGAATTTCAGTTGTCATCCCTCTCGACCTTGTCCAAGCCTACTTCCTGCAAATATAACACAATAAACATTAATTCTAATACAAAATGGCCCTAAACTCACACAACTCTTAAGTGAAATGTATTAAAAATATCTGATATATCACCCACATCATATGATGAGGTTGTGGAGGTGGGTCCCCACAATCTAAAAGTAAGTAAGACAAGAGGCCAATACCCATTAGACTTTATGAGCTAGGCATTGAGGCGAATCCCCATGTCTTTAAAAGTAAGTATGATTAATGTGTTTATGTTATGATGATGATTGCTTGGAGTGTTGCTAGCTATGCCTTCCATGATGTAAGCTTCACTAGAGGCAGATGACCTAAGTCTTGGATAAGGATAAGTGAGGTTACTTAAGGAAGTATTCATCTTTCATTATGATGCTTTATATGTATTGATTATGCATATGCCTTATGCCTTATGTTGCCTTATGCTTATGTTTATGTTGTTTATGCTAGCTATCATATATAGTACTTGATTGTACTAACATATACTCTTGCCTACATTCTTACCAAATGTAGGGTCCGGCGTCCCCAATTAACACATGTGTGGTTAGGTTCCTAGAGGATTGAGAAGTGACGCTTTGGTGAGTCCTCATTGTATTCGATAATTGGATCACCCTATCTCATTATGTCTCTCTTTTATGTTTGAGACTATTGTATGGGTTGCATACCAAGATTTATATTCTCTTATGTTTAGATGGTTGGAGACAATGTCAAGTTAGACTTCCGCTTGCTTTTAATAAAAGATTTTGATTGTATTGAAAAGTTTTAATTCCCACTCATTTCGAAAACATCAATTTTTATTTGGGTATAGACGGTATCTCTTTATTCTTCGTGATATTGACCACATTTCTGATCCCTATTTGCATTTTAGTGGGTTGGTCTGGTATGAGAAGTTATGGGAAAGAGTATATTACAGCATTTCTAATTCATGAATTTATAATGATCGTCGTGTTCTGGTTACTTTATGTTATGATATGCTAAGTGGCTTGTATGAGTCCTCTCGGGGTCTTATATGCCTTGTTAAATCTATGGGGTACCCTTGGGTCATGACAAACTTGTTAATCAGAGCACAAGGTTTAGAATGGTTCTAGGATATCTCAAACCACGTCTAGTAGAGTCTTGTTCATAATTCTGAAGCGTGTCACATTTATGAATAGGAGGCTATTATATGTTTAGGAAATTCCACTTCTTCACTTCTTTAAGTTGTTCCATGGAGTTTAACTCTATAAGTCTTTTTCCTAGTCCGTGCCCGATGGTTTTTAGTATATGACTATTAGAAGGGCTAATGCTAGAAGGCTGGAGGAAGGCAATGTTGAGCAAGAGGTTCCTCCCTAAGCTCCTCCTCAAACTCTGATTGACCTATTGAATGATAATGTGACTAATGCGTAGTTTAGGTCGGCATTCCAAGTGTTGGCTCAAGCCATGATGGCACAAGATAATAGAGAGGTTGTAGCCCCTATGAACCTAAGTGTGGGTACGGTGGTGACAAGAGTGAGGGATTTCACAAGAATGAACCCTCTCAAATTTTATGGCTCCAAACTTGAGGAAGACCCTCAAAAATTTATCGACGAGGTCTATAAGGTACTTGCTATCATGGGTGTGACTCTGGTAGAGAACTCGGAGCTAGCCTCTTACCAACTCAAATGGGTTGCTCAGATTTGGTTTAATCAGTGGAAAGAGCAAGGCCAGTTGAAGTGGGTCCTAAAGAGTGGGAAAGGTTCAAAAGTGCATTTCTTGATAGATTCTTCCCTCTAGAGATTATAGAGGCCAAGGTACTTGAGTTCATAAACTTTAGGCAAGGAAATATGAGTGTAAGAGAATAAGCTTTGAGGTTAACTCAACTATCCAAGTATGCTCATTCCATTATGGTAGATCGTAGAACCAAGATGAGTAAGTTTGTGTTGGGAGTGTCCGATATGGTAGTCAAAGAGTGTCGCACCACTGTGCTTTTTCATGACATGGATATTTCTCGCCTTATGGTGCATGCCCAATAAATTGAGGAAGAAAAGCTCAAGGAAAGATCTATAGAGGCAAAGAGAGCAAGAATGGATGATGGTAACTATTAACATGCTAGGTCCAGTGGACGGGGTCGTTCAAGGTTCCAGCAAAGAGAAGTGATCCTTCAAGGCCTACTAATGAGAGGGTGTCTAACCCAAAACCTCAAGGAGATGGTAATAGGCCTCCTATGCCTACTTGTGCTAAATGTGGGAGAAATCATGAAGGGAAATGTCTAGCGGGCTCTAATGTTTTTTTTTTGTGTGGAAAAACTGATCACAAAATAAGAAATTGTCCTTTGGTTGCCAAGAATGATGGAGATGGTCGTCGTAGGGCTCAACCCGACCCTTTATCTGGTCCAAGTGGTTCGGGTGGAAATGCTCCTAAGCAAAACCATTTTTATGCTCTCTAAAGTACATGTGATTAAGAGAGTTCCCCAGATGTGTATGCTTTACTTGATCCGGGTGCTACTTTTTCATTTGTGTCTCCTTCTGTAGCTATGAGATTTGATATGCTTCCTAATATATTATTAGAACCCTTTTCTGTCTCTACCCCTGTTTGTGATTCTCTGGTGGCTTAGAGGACTTATAGAAGATGTCCCGTTTCCTTGTCCCATAGAGTTGCTTTGGTTGATTTGATAGAACTTGACATGATAGATTTCGATGCCATGGGTATGTATTAGTTGCATTCTTATTATGCCTCTATTGATTGTAGGACTAGAGTGGTCAAATTTCAATTCCCAAATGAGCCTATTCTTGAGTGGCAAGGGGAAATTATATGCCTAGAGGTCAATTTGTTTCTTACCTAAAATCTAGAAAAATGATTTCGAAGGGTTGTACCTACCATATTGTTAGAGTGAAGAATGTGGAGTCTGAAACTCCTACTCTTGAGTCGGTCCTTATTGTAAAAGATTTTTTGGATGTCTTCCCTGATGATTTACCCGGTGTTCCTTCCGAAAAAGAAATAGACTTTGGGATTGACCTTTTCCCCGATACCCAACCTATCTCTATTCCTCCTTATAGAATGGCTCCGATGGAACTTAAGGAGTTGAAGGAACAATTAAAGGGCTTATTGGATAAGAATTTCATTTGATCGAGTATATCTCCATGGGGTGCTCCGGTGTTGTTTGTTAAGAAGAAAGATAGTTCACTCCGTATGTGCATTGATTACCGCCGATTGAACAAAGTAACCATCAAGAAAAAGTATCCTCTTCCAAGAATAGATGACTTATTTGATCAACTTCAAGGGGCAAGTTATTTCTCTAAAATTGATCTCCGGTCGGGTTATCACCAATTGAGGGTTAAAGAAGAAGATATTGTGTAAACAACTTTTAGAACCCAATATGCTCATTATGAGTTCTTGGTTATGTCTTTTGGTTTGGTTAATGTTCCGGCGGCATTTATGGACTTGATGAATACGGTGTTTAGACAATACCTTGATATGTTCGTAATTGTGTTCATAGATGATATTTTGATCTATTCAAGAAGTGAGAATGAGGATTGTATTGCAAATTTTCAAGGACCAACAACTCTATGCGAAGTTTAGTAAGTGAGAGTTTTGGTTAAGGTCCATAGCTTTCCATGACCATATTGTTTCAAGCAAGGGTATTGAGGTAGAAAAAAAGACAAATGCGGTCAAGAGTTGTCCTAAACATCTATCACCGACATATATTAGAAGCTTCTTGGGTTTGGCCGGTTATTATAGAAGGTTTGTCGAGGGGTTTTCCTCCATTGCATCTTCTTTGACGGCCTTGACTCAAAAGAAGGCCAAGTTTATATGGTCCGAAGCTTGTGAGAAAAGTTTCCAACAGTTGAAAGATAGACTTACTTTCGCTCTAGAGTTGACCTTACCGGAAGGTATGGATGACTTTGTAGTATTTTGTGACGCCTCTAGAGTGGGTTTGGGATGTGTGCTTATGCCAAATAGTAAGGTGATTGCCTATGCTTTGAGGCAGCTAAAGGTTCATGAGAAGAACTATTCTACCCACGATCTTGAATTAGCAGCGGTTGTATTTGCCTTAAATATTTGGACGCATTATTTGTATGGGGTCCATGTTGATGTTTTCACCGATCACAAGAGATGGAAATATGTGTTTACCCAAAAAGATCTAAATCTTCGCCAAAGAAGGTGCCTTGAGTTATTGAAAGACTATGATATGAGTGTTATCTATCACTTGGTAAAGAAAATGTGGTGGCGGATGCCCTTAGTCGGTTGTCAATGGGTAGTGTTGCACATATTGATGATGAGAGAAAATAGTTGGTTCAAGATGTTCATAGGTTGGCCCAATTAGGAGTTCACCTAGTAGATTCCACCAAGGGTGGTATTATGGTCCATAATGGTTCCGAATCGTCTTTCGTGGCCGATGTGAAAGCAAACCAATGTCTTGATCTGACCTTTTGAAGGAAGCGGTACTAAAGAAGTCTGTAAAGTCTTTATCCCATGAGGGAGATGGTGTCCTAAGGTACCAATGTCGTTTATGTGTTCCAGATGTTGATGACTTAAGGGAACAAGTTTTATTTGAAGCCCATAGTTCTCGGTATTCTATTCACCCGGGAGCCACCAAGATGTACAGTGATTTGCGAGAGATCTATTGGTGGAATGGTATGAGGAATAGTATTGCGGGATATGTGGTTAAGTTTCCTAATTACCAACAAGTGAAGGTTGAGCATCAGAAACTAGGAGGTTTCTGCCAAGATATTAGCATTCCTACTTGGAAGTGGGAAGATTTGAATATGGACTTCATAGTAGGGTTGCCACGAACTCGACACTAGTATGATTCGATTTGGGTTATAGTTGACCGAATGACGAAGTCAGCCCATTTCATTCCCGTCAAAGTTTCCTATACGGTGGAAGATTATGCTAAGTTGTACTGATAGATATGGTAAGGTAGCATGGAGTACCCTTGTCCATCATCTCTGATAGAGGTATTTAGTTTACTTCACAGTTTTGGAAGTCGTTCCAAAAGGGTCTTGGCACTAAAGATAGGCTTAGCACAACTTTTCACCCCCAAACCGATGGGCAAGAGGAAAGTACAATCCAAACATTGGAAGATATGTTAAAGGCTTACGTAATAGATTTCAAGGGAAATTGGGATGACCATTTGCACTTGATTGAGTTTGCCTATAATAATAGCTACCATTCGAGTATTGGTATGGCTCTGTTTGAGGCTCTTTATGGTAGGAGGTGTAGATCCCCTATCGGATGGTTCGAAGTGGGTGAGGTTGCCTTGATAGGGCCTGAGTTAGTTCATGAGGCTATATAAAAGATTTGACTCATTAGAGAGAGGTTGAGAACGGCCCAAAGTCGACAAAATTCTTATGCCGATGTTAGAAGTTGAGACCTTGAATTTGATGTGCATGATTGGGTTTACTTGAAAATCTCACCCATGAAGGGTGTAATGTGGTTTGGCAAGAAAGGGAAACTTATTCCCCATTTTGTTGGCCCATATCAAATTTTGAGATGTGTTGGTAAGGTTCCATATGAGCTTGATTTGCGAAACGAGTTGGCATCGGTGAAACCGTTTTCCATGTCTCTATGTTGAAAAAGTGTGTTGGAGATCCGACATCCATAATTCCCCTAGAAGGGTAACAAGTGAAAGAGAACCTTTCTTATGAAGAAGTTCTGGTTGAGATCTTACACCAGCAAGTTAAGAGATAGAGGTAAAAAGGTTGCTTTTGTTAAGGTATTATGGAGAAACAATCTAGTTGAGGGTGCTACTTGGGAGGCCGAAGCCGATATGATGTCCCGATATCCTCATCTTTTTCCTCCTATTCTAGATTAAGGTAATGAGTTCCTCTTGTTTTGCTTATGTTTGAAGTCATGTGTGTTTATGTGTTTCCATGATTTCCTTAAATTTGCATGTTCATGAAAAAGCTTAAGTTGTGAATGAAATGACTTATGTGAACTATTTGCCTCATGATTGTTGAGTATTGAGTTAGAGTTACTTATAGACGTTATGAGATGAGTGTAGAAGATGCCTTGACTTGGAGTGGATATCCCCTCCTTGAATTTGTGCTTTCTGAGATTGAATTACATATAGGCTCCATGAGATTGTGTTGATCATAGTTTTGAGTTGGAGATGATAGTTCCTCCTTGAACATGAGAAGTATTAGGATTTCATGCATATTATGTTGTTAGATGTAGCTTATAGTCCATTGTGGTGCATTGAGTATTTTGAGAAGTATTAGCTTATTTGTGTGCATATAGATGAGTTGCAGGCATGATGAGCTGCTATTTTTGAGTTTTTTCGTTTAGGAATGTACCTAAAATCTCATTCGAGAATGAATGATCCCAAGGGGGAGATAATGTAACACCCTAGATTCGAAAGAGGAAAGCTTGGCAAATTTTTAGAAAGTGCAGGTATCACCAACGAGGGCCAACCACGCCCCGTAGGTGGGCTTTGTGGGTGGGGCACACTACGAAACTGCCTAAGGCAGAACCACGGCCAGGACCCACTCCTCGTGGATGGGTCCACGGCCCGTTGTTAGGGGTTTGTCGATGGCCAAAATTCTCTGTCCAGACCACGCTTTACGTGGTCCATCCACGGTCCGTTGGCGAGGTCTCGTGGTTGGACATTTTGGGATAGTTGAGGCAGTTAAGTTTAGGGGCTTAAGAGTCTTTTCTGGTTTTAATTTCATTAAAGTGGTGTTGTTTGGCCTAAGTCTAAGACACCTATAGAAGTGATTTTAACCCCCAAAATCCCCCAATTAAGTCATTCTCTAAAAATCCCAAAAGAATTCCCAAAACTCCTCTCAAATATTCTCTCTCTAGAATTTAGAAGAAGAAGAAAAAGATTGAAGCTAGGTCAAGGTCAAGTCTCCAAATTTTCAAGCTTTTGAGGGCATTGTGACTAAGGTAGGATGACTTTTTATCCATGGGATCCTTCCACAATTTGAAGAAGAATTTCCCCAATTTTAGTTAGGGTTTCTTCCATTGTTGTGGGTTATGATGAATGTTGATCCAATTGAGTGGATTATGATTGTTTTTGATTGAATTAATAGAATTTCATGTTTTTAGGATGAAATTACTTGTACCCATGTCTATCCTATGATTTTAGGGTAGAATTGATATAGTGGGTTGATGCCATGTTAGGAAACTCTATGGGTTAGATATCTCCTTATAGGATCGATGGTTTATGATTAGAATTGCTTTAGATTGAAACATATATGATGAACATGATGTTAATTGCTTGAGATTAAAGCATAGATGATGATCATGAGATGTAGTACTTTGAGAGTAAAGCCTACACTATGACTTGTTGATTGTTAATATTAAGATGTGGAAGAGATACTTCCAATAATGAATTGATAAGCATGATGGAATGAATGTCAAAGGTCTACTCACATGAATGATTTTAGGTTGAAAGGATTACTCACCTCTAATGAATCTAGACTAAAATTCTTAATGAATGAT